TTCCATTACGATGCCTTCTTCCGTTGTCAACCTGTTGACCTTGATCAACGTCGGGCCTCTGACCACCACTTTCACCGCCCCAGAATCTTGTGCAACCAGCGACTTTGGCTTGAAAGGTGCTGCTCCTTCTGGTCTTCCGGCATGGCCATGGGCTGTTGTAGGCGAATGCCGCAACGAGACAGGACCCCGTGACAACGAATGTCTGCCGCTTGGGGAAAAGCGGGATGAACTCTGGACATCGCTTTCCAGTGCAGCGGCCGAACCAACGCCAACCGCCGAGGCAAGACTGCCCATCTTTTACAACTCGCCCGGCTACCACTGTCCTTCGGGGTGGGAGACGGCTGGCGTGGCGGCTGCCCTCAACGGCTCGGCCAGCGTCACCGGCGCGTTCGCTCCGGCGTTTCACGGAGTTTCGGTGAGCCGGAGGGCGCCATGCCGCCGGGCAAACTTTTTCGCCAACCAAATCACGTCCGCCCTTGAGCCGCGGGGAGACGGCTATCATCTGCTGCCCCAGGTACGTCCACTGCCTCCTCCCTCCCTGAACCCACCGATCTACAAGCACGAAGCCGAGGGCTGACAAGATGCGTTCCGCACCCGAACAGCGGTCACACGATGAACCTGCAGACGGATACGTGCCACACCAACTTCCCCGTCTCCGAGCTCGCTGGCTCGACCGGCTGCGTGACAAGCTCTACACCCCTCGCCTCGGGGTCAGCATCCGCAACGGAAATATATCTGTCAACAACATCGACGGTGACCTGGGACTATCAGGGGACCACCACGACCCAGACCTTTTACTTCCCCATCCCCGATCCTGACCAGACGTACGGTGAGCCGTCGACTGCTGCGTACACCTTTGGGCCGGAGGGACCAGACGAGGAGTACTACCCAGATGGCCCGTGGGTTGGCGTCAAGGGCACGCCTGCTGTCATCCTCTTCAACAAGGGCACTGCCGAGACCAACAGCGCCGCCCCCAGCAGCAGCACCACCGGAGGGAGCACCGATCCTGTCGAGGAGAGCGGTGCGTCGGCGATGCGCTCTGCGGGCATTTGGGGGGCTGCTGGAGGCGTGATGGCTGTCTGGACCGTCGCGGCTCTGGCTGGTGTCGGGCTGGTTGCTGCCCTGTAAGGAAGGTGATTGGTATGGACTGGTCAGTACGAGACAGTCAATGTCCGAGGTTGGAGGAGACATAGACGTATGTGTTCTGGTGCTTTTTCCTAAGCGCATGCATGGTGCGAGCCCGGGTTGTCTTATTTCGATAGATAGCTCATGATTATGGAAACATCCTGGCCATGAACCGAGAATTCGTTTGGTGTGTGAGCATGCTGATGATCAGTGCCAGTGCCTGTCGCAACACCATGAAGTCGATTTGATGTTCAAAATGTCATTTGGGTGAACAACGTGTCTGCCTCTGGGTCGTTCCCCCCTTACATGGAAGGAACCACCATTCTCAGGTACGTACCTCACTAAGGTACCACCTTGCCGGGCACCTAGACACCCAAGCTTGCCAAGGTATCTACCTACCTTACCTACCTTGCCTACCTAGGTACCTACCCAGGTAGGTAAGTTAAGGTGCCTCTGTACCTGAGAAGGTCCTGGCTCTGGGCTAAGGGGCCCCTGCTAATGCCTGCACCCCGCTGAACCACTACCGGGAGCATTTCCCATTGGTCTTCCGTCTCCCAAGACACCTTCTGCGTGACGCGCCAACGTCAACTGCCATTTTATTCTCTACCTGGGATCGCATGGCAACCTGTCGCAAATATCACCACGATATCAGATGGCCTGCTGGGACACCACTTGACGCGTCGATAGTACACACGAACGCAAAGATCTGTGCACAAGTGCCACCAGGCGACACACATCGTCAGCACGCCCAGCCTCCTGTGATGTGGTGACCGAACTACCCACCCCCCACTCGACGCTCAAGATGCCGACCTCGATGCATCCCCAGGCCAAGTTCGACCCTATATCGCCGGACTTGGACCTCTACGCCTTGGTCGATCGATGCGCCAACTTTGAATGGGTCCTTCGTATTTCGACCCGCCAGATCCGCAATCTGGGCCCCGAGGAGTTTGAGAAGCTGGTGATGCTTCAAGTCATCAACGGCGGCAAACCTCTGGTCATTGAAGGCTGGAATGACGTCTTGCCCCGCGACATCTTCAGCAGAGACTGGCTCGAGGCGACGTACGACAAGAAACGTAGGTCGTCTTCTCCTCTCGCCGGCCTTGGTTGCGACAGCATGCTGACAGGTGCTACAGAAGAGAATGTTCGCGACATCGGAGCTGGGAACGACATTCCCATGACGACCGGACATTACCTGCGATCCATGAAACAGCTCACAAACCAGTGGACCCCCGGCAAGTACCGCGATGAGCGCCGACAGCGACTGTATCTCAAGGACATCGACTGCCCCCCCGAATGGCAAGAGCAACTGCAGAAGGTCATCCCGCCAAGCCTCTTTTACATGAATGAGAACATCACGGAGAGAGGAGGCGGAGGCACGCGCAACGACGGCATTTTGGGCGGCGCATCCGAGGCTACCGCGGCTTGCGCTGGAGACCTCATGTCCAGCCTCCCCGAGGAGATGAGGGCGCAGAACCTCATGTGCTACATCGGCCACGAGGGCACGTATACACCCGCCCACAGAGAAATGTGCGCGAGTCTGGGACAGAACATCATGGTGGAGGCTTCCAGCGACGAACACGGAGAAAAGCCAGGAAGCTCCGTCTGGTTCATGACCGAGACCAAGGACCGCGAGGTGGTCCGGGAGTACTTTCTCTCCATGCTGGGTCACGACGTGGAGATTGAGAAGCATTTCGCCCAGATCAATGCATGGAAGAAGGCCACCTTTCCGGTCTACATTGTTGACCAGAGACCAGGCGATTTCATCCTCATCCCGCCCCTCGCACCACACCAGGTCTGGAACCGTGGCACGCGCACGATGAAGGTCGCCTGGAACAGGACAACCGCCGAGACCCTCGACCTGGCCCTGCACGAGGCCCTGCCCAAGGCCCGACTTGTCTGCCGCGACGAGCAGTACAAGAACAAGGCCATCATTTACTACACCCTCAAAAAGTACCATCAACAGCTGCAGGAGGCAGAGGAAAAGAACGAGATGAGCATGCTTGGTTTCGAAGGCTTCAGTCAGGAGCTGTTCCGTTCCTCGCCGCGCTTTCAGCAATTAACCCGCGACTTCCGACATCTTTTCGGCCTATTCACGGAGATCATGACGGACGAAATGTTTGCGACAAAGGAGACAGCCGTCGAATTTGTCAAGTTTGACTCATGCGTCATCTGCTCCTACTGCCGCTGCAACATCTTCAACCGCTTCCTCACCTGCAAGAGTTGCGTGAGGACCCTTGTCACGGGTGACGAGGATGCCTACGATGTCTGCATGGGATGCTATGCCATGGGACGATCCTGCATGTGCCAATCCGGTCTGACATGGTGTGAGCAGTTTGACTGGAATGCTCTGGTGACTGACTACGAAACGTTTCGGACCATGGTCATCAAGAACGACGGATTTGTCGACATGGAGCTGTCTCCGCAGCCTCTCGAGGTTGCAAGAACCCGCCAGGGCAAAAAGTCCACAGCGCAGATCTGCCAGGAAGCACTCAAGCGACGCCCTTTCAAGGACATTTCGCAGCCCGAGGCAGAGATTGTACCGAGCGAGTCGGAACAGGAACCAGACCTCGACGACCAGGGCCGGCCAAAGAAGAAGAAGAAAAAGTACAAGCGAAAGGCCAAGAAGGGCGATCTCAAGCGATGCCATGTGTGCTGCCACAAGGATTACGCCTTCCGCGTCCACGACTGCAGCAATCCCCAGTGCAAGGAGAGCTACTGCTACGGCGTACTCTATCGTGCTTTCGACATGATGCCGCAAACAGTGCTGGAGAACGAGAATTGGCTGTGTCCCAAGTGTTTGGGCATCTGCAATTGCGGTGCGTGCCGGCGCGTCCAGCTCGGCGACCCGTACATGCCCAAGAACACTCTTCTCGGCCACGACACCAAGGCTGTCGCAGATGACCGAAGCATCGAACTGCTGGTCGACTTTAGGGTCCACAACTTGAACTGGCTTAAGGCCATGGGCGAAGATGGCCGCACGACTGATAGCAAGAGAATGAAGAACCTTCGCGAGCAAGCGGATACGGCCAAGGCCCAGGACAGCATTGGGCAGGCGGCCGAAGAAGCCATTGCAAATGCCACCACAACTTCCATGCCGCAGACTGGCCATGACCGTCAGCTCATCAATGGCTACGGCGACCAGAGTCACGCTTTTGAAGGCCAGCAGTATCTCGACCCGAACGTCCCGGATCCCAACGACGCGCATCATGAAGTTGACCCGCCAACCATTTTACTAGACCCTGATGAAACCATGATGACTGCTGACTTGGGCGATGATTCTGCCTACCCGGATCCCGTGATGCTCGGCGGACAGCGCATGCTCGGTATGGGTTACTACGACCAAGACAACGGACCTGACCAGATTCTTTTCGATCATTTCCAGATGCCCTCGGCCGATGCCTTGGTATTTGACGAAGAGGCTGAAGTCGTCAAAAAGGCGCTTCGCGCTCAGAAGAGAAGGGCGAAGCAGCAGGACGAGGTTGACCCCGACTTTGCGGGGCCCAAATCTCACAAAAAAAGGAGAAAAGACAATAATGTTGAGATGTCTTCCATGGACCCTGCCCTTTTCGGCGCCGACGCCACGGCTGCGGATACGACAATGCCGGAGGACGAGTCTGTCGAACCCTCAGCTCAACTGACGCAGGAAGCCGAAGACCAGGCCGGAAAGCATAAGCAACCTGTTTTCCCAGCCAATGTGCCGTCTCTTCGCCATGCAAAGCCAATGGTATCGTACGCGGAGGCTGACGAGCCGTTGGTGGAAGACCCGGATGATGTGTTACCGGCATGGGAAACACACCCAGGTCCACGTAAGCCACGTGAGCACGTCGACCCGCCGGTTCTTGGCGCAGAACCAGATGATCCCTTGCTTGGGGCCTCGGGTGCCGTTCGCGAACGTCTCGGGCAGACTACGTCGGGCGGGCATGAAGCCATGGGGAATGACGGCGAGCCAAAACGTAGAGGCCCCGGACGGCGATCGGGGAAGCCCGATGCTGTGGAAGCTACAGGCAGCCCCGGTCAGCCGGCTGGTCCCTCGGCAGCCGAGCTTGCTGCACGCAGACGCGCTGCGAGGGCGAACCGCAGATCTGGCGTGGAACTCGCCGAGGATGCTGAGATGCTGGACCTTGACGAGCTGCCCGCCACCAAGGCAGTGGACCTTGGTGACGATTCAGGGGCCGAGTCAGCACATGGTTCAGCGGAGAAAGATGACGACGATGGTGACTTTGGTAAGCCGTCAGCAGCTCGCCAGGCCAGGAGCGGACCGAAGCCTGCGCCGAAGCCTGCACCGAAGCCTGCAGCTACCGAACCAGGCGTAAAGCGTCCCCGTGGCCGGCCCCGTAAGATACAACCCCAGGAAACACCCCCTGCCAAAGCGTCGACACAGATGTCCATGGCGGAGCGGATGGCTGCCCGCGGAAAGAAGTTTAAGATCGGAAACCGCGGTGGTCTTCGCAACTCTAGGGGAGGCAAGATCGCCAGCAGGAGCTCGATCACGCCGCGCGCGCCCATGCCGACGGACACGGCCCCGGGCGACGCAGGCGCGGCGCACAAGACTCCTGTGCCCCCCGACGACGTCTTCCCCGAGACGGACCTGGCGCCCCCCCTCGAGGCGAAGCCTGCGACGGACGGCCGGCGCCGGCAAAACGAAGACGAGGATGAAGACTTCCAGGTGGAATCACCGTCTCGTTCTCCGTCTGTCGAATCGCTTCCTGGACCGCGCGAGCCGGAGCCATCCCCGCCACCCCAGCTGCCGGTCAATTCGAAGCCGACAATCGTTCGCCTCGGCTCGCACTCGGACTCGGACTTTGAAGGTGGAGACAACGACGCGCCACGGCGTCTCAGCGGTTCGCTGCCAGCTTCAGAAAGTGATGATGACAGCAGCGACGGTGATATACCCAACGTGCCTGTCGTGCGGCCCATCCGCGGCCGGGGCGTCGTACGGGGCATGCGAGGCGTGGGCGGACGCGGTCGAGGTCGCGGGCGGCCCCGGGGACGGCCTCGAGGCAGCTAGGCAACTTTCGTTCAGGTCCTTAGTCTGGAAGCCCAGGACGCTGTGGCATTTGGGAGAGAAAAAAGCGAGCCACTTTAGGCTTGAAAGATGGCTGAGTGAGTTTTCGGGCAGCTTTAGTGGTCTCGAGAGCAAGGCCTGCCCAGCAGTTGTTGGTCGTGTGCAGGACGTTCTACATTATGATACCCTCTTATTCATTTCTCTTCAACCATGCTTCTTCTGTCTCTCCGTCGCGCCTTGCTCTGTGCTCACGTTCATGGAGTGCCAGACGGTCCTCGTCGTTCCGTCTCTTCGAGGCATCATATCCCGCCGTTCCACCACGATCCAGCACATACGACCATACCTACTGGAAAGCTCGGGATCCCGTCCGCTCTCCCATCGATAAACCAGTAAGGGCTGAACTAGTAGTTGGGTGGGTGACCACCAGCGAATCCTCGGTGTTGTATGTTTTTTGATGTTTTTATTTTCTCTTGTTAATTTGCTGGGTGGGGGGGGAAGTGGGATGCTGGGCCGTGGGGATGGGTGGCTGCGCGCTCCACAGCGCTACACGCAACCCCTTCTCAGGATGAGAGATGGCTCCCATTGATGAAAGAGCGGCTACATTGCCGGGGTTTTAGTCTAAGTTGAAAGAACTTCTTGGCATCATGGCAGGAGATGAGGTATCCAAGTTCAGGACGTTGAAGAGCACGATCTACGGCATCGAGGAGAAGCTCCACCAGTGGTGCGCGTGCTGATGAAAATGTAGCGTGGTGAAAGCTGTAGGATACAATGACAGTCGAGATTGTAGTCAGTAGGCCGTGGGCATGGCTGATGTGGTGTCGGCGACTACGTCTATCGGTGCTTGGCCCCGATCACGGGTCTGGGACTGACTGGCATTGCCTGTCACGTTCCAAAAGTATTCAGAGACACACAAATTAACATCATTTCTCAATCAAAGCAACGTCACGCGCCGTGACAGGACGGGATATACTCCGGCGCAACACCATTGATTTGCGCTTGCCTTCTATATACAGGAACACAGGTCGTACACCAAGCCAGCCGGCCTTTTCGCCGTAAACCCTCGTTTTCTTCCTTCTTCGCACCCGGCCCCCGGGCAGCTCCCGCGAGAAGCACCCCCTTAGTCCGCCGAGGCCCTCGCCAGGGCCTCGTGCAGCATGGGTGGGAAGCGGTACCGCAGCTGCGACGTGTAGGTCGTGAGGTCGAGGACCATCTGGCGCATCTGCTCGATGATGAGGCGGCGCGTGCCTTCGTTGCCGGAGAAGGCGCCGTTCGAGAGCTGCTCGCGCTGGCGCGTGCAGGCGACGACGGTCCACATGAGCAGGTTGGGCACGTTGATGGACACGGGCTGGGAGAGGCCCGGGAACTTGGCGGCGTAGGCGCGCACGATGGCCGGGTCGCCGTTGGCCTCGAGGGGCAGGATCTCGAGGCTGCGGATTTTCTGGAGAGGACGAGTCAGCTTGGGTCTCTTCTGTTGGGAGGAGAGAGAAAGAAATCTGGGGAATCCCAAAAAAAAAAAAAAAAAAAAAAAAAGAAACGTACATCAAAGACATTGGGCCCACTGGCTCGCCTCAACAAGAGACTTGATGGAGCTCATCTCGAGCAGCACGCGGCACGCGACGCGGTTCTGGTCTTGGATGCGGCGGTGGAACATGGCATCACGCTCGTACATGGACATCATGGTGCGGGCGAGCTCGACAGGGTCGTCGATGGACGCCAGGCTGAGGCTGCTGCCAGCCTCGACCTGCTGGCCGGCGTCGCGCGGCTTGACGGGCATGAGTTTCAGCGGGTCCTGGCCAATGTCGAGGGAGATGGCCTCGCTGAGGGCGCGGCTGACAATGGCCACGACCGTGTCGTACTCGCCGGCGAGGTGGTACAGCAGGACGGCATCTGTGGTACGGCCGTTCTCCTCGGCGAAGCTGGCGGCTTGGATCGTCACCGTGTTGATAAAGTCGTTCTCCTCTGTCAGGCCGATGAGTGAGCCGCGCTCCTCGATAATGCCGCGTATCCGCTGGCCATCGGGTCGAATGTCACCGATGAGCTTGCTAAATTCTCTCGTCTCGAGCACCAGTTCGCGCAGGGCTTCCCAGCAGAGGTTGGCGTTGCGGCGGCCCGCCTCGCCTGGCAGGTCCATGTTGAGACAGACAAGCGTCAGGTAGTCCACGGCAGAGACGACATCAGCAGCGCGGAAATCCTTTGTGTAGAAGCCGAGCATGCGGCCAAAGTTGATCTGGACAAGGTCTCTGGAGTTGAGGCTGCGCAGGTCGCTCGTGGCCATGTAGGGATCAGATGGGCGCAGCAGGCCGTAGTACTCAAGGGCAATGGCGAAGTGCACCGCGTCGACGTACGAGAAGGGGTAGAGATAGGCAATGGCCTCCTCGAACATACCCGAGAGAATCTGCAGGTAGAAGAACATGCCGAAGCTGCCACTAGAATCTTCCGACGACGTCTTGGGGAAGTGCTTGGCGCCAATCTCCTTGATACTCGACTGCACCTCGGCCAGACCGTACGCCTCACTGGCCACCTCGACAGAGCGATCACCCTCCCGGGCGAGGTTGAACTGCAGCCAGATCCAGTCGTTGATGTCCGTATTGAGGCCATCGAGGTTACGGTTGTTCAAGTCACAGCGACCAATGATCTTGTAACAGGCCATCCGGAAGGGGTCGATGGAGTTCTCTGGCGCGTTGCGTACACGCTGCACATATTCGGCATTGCAGCGGTCCTGGAGGTTCCGCTTAAGACGTCTGTCGTCGCTGGCGGCATACCCATTAAGATAGCTCTGGAACGTCCGGTCGATGCTGCGGAAGGCCGTTGCGTTGTCGTTCACAAACCTGGCAGCTTCACTCACGTGGCCAGAGCGAAGGAGGTAGAAGACGATAGCCCAGACATATTGGTCCTTGACCTGTTGCAGCTCGGTGTTGTCGGGGACGAGATCTTTGCGCGCTGATCGAAGGCGAATGTAGGCCTTGATCTTGCTCACAATGTCGGGTCGGCCGCCGAGATTGGCTTCGTGGGGGTATTTGGCGATCAGAGATTCGACTTCGTGGAGGAACTGCCCCTCCAAGAATGAGTTGGCGCCACTGAGGATGCGCTTTCGCATGGCAACGGCGTTGGTCGAGTTGGCCGACTCGTCCATGTACATCTCTGCAAACTGCCTCTCCTTGGCAGTCGCACCGTTGATGGTTGTGTCGGCCTCGGGATCTTCGCCCACAATCTCGCTGACAGCGCGGTAGGCTTCGACGATATGGGGGGCGTGAGGGTCGTGGGATCTCTGCTCGACGTCCGCGAGCTCGGCGAGGATAGCGTAGGGGTGCGCAATGAGACGAGCCGAGTTGAGGTTGCGAATTTTCTCCGCCAGCCTGTTTTGCTTTTCACGGAGCGACCTGTCGTCCGTGGTGATGCCGCCAGCCGCCAGGCCACCGCCATCGCCGGAGCGCTCAACGTCAGAGAACTCGGATTGGTGGTGCGTGCCGATGCGGCTGGGGGTGCCAATGACAGAGCGCTGGAGGGTCGACTTGCCCAGGACGCTCTGCCGCCCGGTGCGGTTGCCTGCCTGGGGGTTCTTGCTGCGCCGAGAGCGGCCGAACCCGCCCTGGCCGACAGAGTCTCGGTGTCCCGTGCTTCCCACCGACTCTTCGCGGGGCTTGATGCCGAAGTGGTCGTATATGCGCTTCCTCTGGGCGTCCCACTCCATCGTGACGTTGTCCTCGAGGAAGTTGTCAAAGTCCCGGGCCGAGCGCTCGAGGCCGTCGGCAATCATGCTCAAAGTCGTCTTGGACTGGAGGTTGGAGAGGTAGGTCTCGACGTCAAGCTCGGCAGGGGCGTAACCGGAGGACCGCTCGACACGGCCAGTCTGCAGGTCCAGAGACCCAAGGTCCTTAGCAGCAAGGGTAGGATCGACGCCGGACGCAGCGAGGAGGTAGTGAGCGCGGCCGTCGAGGCCCCTCTCCTGGGGTTTGGAGCCAAGCCTCTTCAGACGCTGGCGCAGGTCTCCGAGGCCGAGCTGTAGGCTGGGGAGATCCTCGAGCGAACCCTCTCCATCGCCCTCCTTCTTTGTCTTGGCGAAGAGGCTGTCAAAGTAGGCTCCCGATGGCTGGGCCGTCTGGGACTGGGACAGGGACTGGTTGTTCTGGGCTTGCGGCTGCTGGTTGAAGAGGCTCGAGCCACCGCCAAAGTTATTCGTGCTTGTCGTCGTCTGAGGCTGCTGGGTCGTCGTGGCGCCGAAAAGTGACGGCTTGCTTTGCGTCTGGTTTGTCGAGGCTCCCAGGCCAAAACCTCCCAGACCGGTCGAGGCGCCTCCCGTCTGGGGCGTGCTGGAAGCTCCACCGAGCAGAGTCGAGCCGCCAAACAGTGAACCGGTCTGTTGCGTTTGTGTCGTCGCTGGCTTGCCGAACAAGCCTCCGCCTCCACCTGCGCTGGCCGACTGTTGGGTCGATGCACCGAAGAGCGAGCTCCCGCCTGACTGCTGCGGCTGGGCTTGTTGGCCGCCAAAGAGGCCACCGCCGCCGGTTGTTTGTTGAGGCTGCTGGGCCTGCGCCTGGCCTCCGCCAAAGAGTCCGCCTGCACCGGTCGGAGCAGCAGGTTTTGCGCCGAAGAGACCTCCGGAGCTCTGTGTCGTCGGCGCCGCCGCAGCGCCCTGCTGCTGCTGGTTTTGCTGGCCAAACAGACCGCCACCTGTTGAGCCTCCAGTCGCGCCGCCGCCGCCGCCAAACAGCCCACCACCGCCTGTGGTCCCGCTCGAGGTGTTGCCGAAGAGGGACATCGTTTCGGTATCGAGGAGGATCTTTTCAGAGCATCAGTCTAGCAATTCATCAGGTGGCGCGCGTCCTCTAGGTGTGATTGACGGGGATTGCGATGGCAAGGACGCGCTTGGGTGAGGTAGGTGGTTGTGAATGCTGAGGCGCGTTTGGTTGATGGGGAAATTTTGGTAGCGCAGGGAGCTCAAGACGTCAATCAGACTGCCTTGTGCCTTATGCCTTGTGCCTTGTGCCTTGTGCCTGGTGCTGGAGCTTGTTGCTTTGCTGCTTGGGCCCGTCTGTGATTGGCGGGGGCGGCCAGGCAACGGGGCAGCTCCAGCGGTACTTTGTATTGGACCGACCAGCCAGCTATGTGTACATGTACACCTCTCACCAGCCATGTGTGGCTCATGTGGTGCCAGACAATGCGTTTGCTTGAGAAATCTCACAACTCTCGCCAGCAAATGTCTGTCGATGCAATCAACATAAAAGACAATGGGATGGGCAGTTGGTGAGCTAGGCCACTCAGTCTTGACGCGTCGGTCTCACACACCCACATCTAAACACTACTGGGTAGCAAGAACGATGGATGCTTCGTGCATGCTCAGGACTCGACAGTGCCACAGAAAACAATTGCGGGAAGAAGCTGTCAGAGAACATCAATAGTCAAGAGGAACCGTACGTGGGCCAAGGTCAACGTCGATACACAATGCTTAGGGAGTTGGGGCCAGGGGGTCTCGCACGACAGCTCTGCATCTGCCCGAACTCTTTACACGACGCATTCGCCGCATTCGAAGCGTTCTCGACAAAGACCACGACGACGGGTCGGCTTTCCGAATTGAGCTTTAGTCAATTGTAGCTGCTACCGTACTCTACACGTATTGAAAGCAACTGAAACGCAGAAAAAAAGCAGCCTGATCATTGCTCGTAGCATCGTGGGTATCCGTGGCTGCACAAAAAGGGGAGGGGTTGCTGTTTGTTTAATCCCCGTAACGCCAGACAGGGAAGAAAGAAGAGAAAAGACAAATGCCATGCCAGGCAAAATTCTTCGCGCCGAGTACCCGTTCTTCCAAGTTCCGTAAACGTCCCAATCCGATTACGCCCCAAAGTCGTCATATATATTTGTACAAGTCTGCTCCTGCAGTTCGTCTGTTGTGTGGTGGTGTAGTGTTTGGTGTGTGCCGGATTGCTTGCCAGCATGCCAATTTAGGCACTGCGATCAAGCGTCTTGCGAGGCTTGTAGTTGGGCAGCTCGTCAAATGACCTCCTCTCCGGGTTGTAGCGGTAGGCGTGGAAGTCGATGCCGTACGGCTTGGGCTCAATCGCGTACAGCATGCCCAGGGGCACATCGAGGTCCGCAATATCCTCACGCTGCAACTCCATGAAGTACGCCATGAGGACACGGCAGACGGAACGGTGTCCCACAATGAGAATGTGGTCCGTGATGCGCTCAATCTCACGCACCATGTCGCGCAGGCGGGCGATGATCTGCAGATAACCCTCGCCGCCGACGCCGGGGTAAACGTAATGCAGCTTGTCCTTTGACCGCTTCTCGTACTCGCCGGGATAGTCGCGAGCGATCTGCTCGTAGGTCATGCCCTCGAAGAGGCCCGCGTTCAACTCGTTGAGCATTTCCCAGTTCTTGACGTCGTACTCCTCGTCAGCCTCAAAATAATCGGCCGTCTGCACGCTGCGCTTCAGCATGGAGGTCCAGACGCAAAAGTTCTTGTCGTCAAGTTCCTGGTTCACCTCGGGGTATGGAGGTGTGTGATCACCAGGGAGCGGCGGAAAGGATGACTGCGCAATCTTGTCCGTCTGATCAATCAACCAAGCCTTGCGCTTCATGGTGATGAAGTCGTGCAAGTCAAGTGCATACTGTTGGCCCTGGGGCGTGAGCTCCGAGTCACCCCCGAGTCTACCGAGGCTGTTGTCGACACTCTGGCCGTGCCGCGTGAGCCAGATCTGTCTGGCCGCAAGGTTGAAGGTTGTGAGATAGGAGCTTATGCCACCGCTGAGGAAGCCCCGAAGCCTGTGCTGGATGACCTTGCGTCCGACATCAATCATCTGGATGTACTGCATGTCATGATCCTCTTCATATTGGCCAATGGGCTCATAGGCGCTCGCGTAAGCCTCGACCCTCTTCTTGAAATCTTCCAGAGACTTGATGGGGTCCTTGTCCTTGTAGTCTGGGCCAGACAGCTTGAGACGCATGTTTGCCTCGAGGAGCTACTATTTGTCAGCGCGATTCGAGCCAGAACTTGGCGTGGTGGCCACATACATCCTTATCGTGGCAGATACTCTCGATAAAGAGTATGCCGAGTCGGTCGTCTCTGGCCTTGATGCGGTCGACAAGGAGCTGACGCCTGTGAATGGTGCTGTTTGTGGCATCAAGAATGCCTACAGAACCTTTGCCGTGGAGGAGGTAGTCGAGAAGCTCATCGAGCGTGTCGAGGGCCACCTGTTCGCGAATCTTGCTCGCCGTTTCGTTGTTAGGGTCGAAAAAGTTGGCCGACTGGTCAACGTTTGGGTCGTGTGGATCTTCGCCATTGAGGTCAAACTCAACAGGCTCAGAAGACGACTGCGCATTGGCCGCGGGGTTGCCGTTGAGGAGAATCTCGGCAGCGGCCGAAGGGGGGTCGAGGGTTGTGTTGTTGCCTGGCGGAGAGGAAACAGGCTTGATGCCATTGTGATGGTAAGTGCCTGGCGCTCCAGCAGCGACACGACGACGGTTGCCGACGTTGAAGATGCGCGAGTTGTGTTGCATCCAAGAGAGGTAGCGCTGCAACTTCTTGGTGATGTAGGATTTGCCACGGGCGGGTAGACCGACCATGATGATGACCATCTTGGCGGCGACATCACGGTCGGGAATTCTGCCGTCGGGAGAGGCACGGGACCTGGTCATGCCAGGAACGTTGAGTGTCGTCGCATGGCCGCGGACGCGCGGAGTGGCGCTCGCGGAATTCTGTCTCTTGGGAACAACTCGTGGGGAGTTGGGCGCAGTCGACACAACGCTGCGCAGGTTCGGAGGTGTGTCGGAAGCGGCGAAGGGGACGCGGTCGCGCAGAGGGTAGGTGGCGCTGATGTCATTCATGGAGCGCAGCGCATGTTGCATGGCTGGCACGGCAGGTGGCGGGAGGAGGCCATCCTGGGGGTGTGAGGACGGCGGCGGCTGGACGTCATTTTGGAGGCTCGAGTAGTCCAAGTCGTAGCTCGGGGGCTTGAGGCCGTTGCCATTAAGATCGGGAGACGAGGAAAGAGGCGTTTGCGACGGAGACAGCGATGCGCGGCTGCCACCCATGGCCAACTTTGCCAGGGCCGACTGTTTTGCCTGTTTGCGACCGAAGTCTACTAAAAGGCAGGGTTCGTTACTCAGGGTTCCGGTTTGGCGGTTCTGACAGGCGATGCAGTAGGTAATAGCTTGTACCAAGGTGGATTCGATGTGTGATGCGGCAGGTACGATAGGTGCAGTAGGGGCAGAGGTGCAGTGATGCAGGAGAGAGGTGGTATTGTTCACAGGAGGAATCGTTGGATGGTTGGATGGATGGTGGGACAAAGATGGGATGGGATGAGAAGGGTTGGGGGGGTTGGATGGGAGGGGAAAAAAAATGTTGGTAGGAATCGGAGAAAGAGAAGGAGAAGGGGGACGGACCTGGCTGATGCTCTTCGCGGAGAATTCTTGAAGGCATTGGGAAAAAATTATGGGTTACCTGGACGGCTAGGTACGTGGAGGTGGTGCTTGCTAAGGTTTTCTAGTGGTGTGTTTGCGCAGTCCTTGCCAAGCAGAGGAACCTAAGGCGTCGGCGGCTCGTCTTTCCTCTTTGCCTGGCCGTGCCTGTCTGCGTATCGCGCACAGAATGGTACCTCCTGCGACGTGAGGAGGAGGAGAAGGAGGTGCCGCCCAGGAGCTGAGGCAGGCACTTCCTTGACTGCCTTCCGCTTGAGTCAGATGCGCGGTGACGGCGCTTTTGGGGGTCCTTCTGGCGCCGTTCAGCGGAGAAGGGGGTCGTGTCCAATGAGGAGTCGTCAGTGAGGCTTTTCTCCAAATCGAGAAATGGAGAGGTCGATGGAGAACGTGGTTGATCCCAGCCCGTCTTGCGGTGCTTGAGTGGCGCGTCCAAACCAGGGTACGATTCGATACAGGGGTGGAAGCGGCGGAAGGGCGAGAGCCAAGGAGAAGATGACAGGGGGCAGGGGGCGATGGTCGATCGACTTCGGTGCCCTTGTCTGCCTTTCTTTCGCCTTGCGACTGTTGTGTGTCTCTAGGCGCGCCCAGCTGACAAGGTGACCTGTTGAGGGGAGATGATGGCGTTGGGATGGCGAGACGCTTATGATGAGGATGGCGAGACACAGGAGAGATCTAGCGAGACTATGTGCATATGTCTGTGTCTGTGTCTGTGCCTGTGTGTTCCGTGTCTTGGGTACTCGAAATGTGAGAAAGGGGTGAAGTGAAAGACCGAGGACTCGGGGGCGCTGGTGGAGGAGGGATGGGGAAGCAGGGCCGATAAATATCTCTCTCTGATGAGCTTCAATGACGGCCCCCCCCAGCTTACGGTGCTCCTCATCTTGCTTTCCACAGACGCCCACCTCCATCCACCTTGAGACAATATGGGGATGGCATGGGATGGGATGGGGGTCGCCCCCCTCAAGCTTCCAGGCTCCAGGCTCCAAAGCTCTCAGGCTCTGTGCGAGCTGAGCGACGGTGGAGGAGCCCCATTGGGAAACATGGGATAGTCGGGTCAGAGGCCTTCATGCCTCCCAGATCCAGATACAGATCCAGGTTCCAAGTTCCATGTTCCATGCTGAGTCTGCTTCACTCTGGCCGGATCGCTGTCACTTCCACGGTAGGTACCGCCACTAAGGTACCGGGAGAGGCGTGGGCGGATGGGCGACTGTGACTCGTCCACCTCACCTCACCTTGTCTAGGTAAGTAGTACCACACCCTATACGAGTCGACACTTTGCGGTCCGTTGTTTCTTCCACCCAAAACACCAAGGAACTTTACCGGTACAGGGAAGCCCTGACAGTTGCCAGAAATACATAAAGTGAGGCAGGGAGCGGACCTCAACCAAGGAACGGGAGACACAAAGCATTCCACCGGGGCCATCCCCAGCGGGCGGGTATGACGCCCAGACTTCCCAACGAGACAATCGTCTCTCTCTCTCTCTCTCTCTCTCTATCTCTCATCAATCACTCTGACTCTCACCAACTTTGTCTGCCCGCCACCAGTGTTGCATCCGCCCTTTCAACGCCGATCCGACCAACTACAGGAACCAATCTCGCATTTCACCGCACAAGCACCTGCCCAGATTTCGTCCCAAAGCCCCGAGTGTCACCTCCAGTGAGCCTGCACCGCTGCAGTCGCCACAGCCCCCCCTCCGCCGCAGCCGCAGCCGC